TATTTTCTACCACAGACATGGCCACACATTTACAATGCTAACTAGCTTATATACATTTTCTTTTGTCCTCCATGGACAGGGTGAAAGATTTGTCAAACATACAGTTCAGAGATTTATTGAACAACCACAGAAGGTGATCGTAGTGCTTTTAAAGTGTTAGGCTAAGCTACATACGTAAATACATAGATACACAGATTTATGAATGCATTAATGTGAATTTATAATGGTGAAATGTAATTCTGATCAGCTTTATACTTTATACACATACATACACACACACATACATGCATACACACACATACATACATATATATACACACACACATACATACACATATATTTGTCTCTTTTTACTCTGACAGGGTGAGATAGCTGACAAGAGAAACTAGTGTGCAATTAAGAACTTAACCACTGAAGGTGATTAAGATGCTTTTTACAAGCTCAGGTTATATAGTTACATTACATGGTTAATCTAGGGTACAAGTCCAATATAGAAGGCAGGGTGAAGCGGCTAGTGTGTGTTGGGGAGATCGGTAGGGCGTATGTGGTTGGAGACTGGGAGGGTGTATGTGGGCAGACAGATAGGATGTGTGTAGGGAAAAGGTGGTTGAGTTGTTTGTGGGGAAAGATGGGTAGGGGGTATGTGTGGGGGAACACCTGGGAGGGTATGTGTAGTGGGAGGCAGTGCAACCTGTCCTCCTACAAAGAACGTCGCTTTTCACTCGTATGCGTTACTTAAGGCCAAAAAGTGTCGTACTAGAAAATGAAACCGGCTGGCGAAAGTGATGTACTGTCCCGTTTTCTGTTTTGGGTCTTCTGGTAGGTTAGGTGGGGACACTTTACATTGACCGTTTTCTTGACGTTGGGCAGCACCGCTCCTGTGCCAGGTAAGTCCACCACGGGCTCACCATAGCCCGTGCTACTGGCCCCGCTTCTGTGCCAGGTAAGTTACGGGCTCACCATAGCCCGTGCTACTTGGAACTTGTTCCGAGTAGCTGAATCTATAACAACAACAACAACATGACGTTGAGGAAACCTTAGAAGGACGGGCTGGGCAGTGAGGGGGTGTGTGAGGGAGAAGTCTGTTATTAGAGCCAGATACCCAATTTAGTATTCAATAACACACACATATACTGTACTGAATATTCAGTGTGAGTGGGGGGTTAGGATTAGGAACTAATCAAAACATATATACACCTGTGGTTGTTGTTGTTATTATAGATTCAGCTACTCGGAACAAGTTCCAAGTAGCACGGGCTATGGTGAGCCCGTAACTTACCTGGCACAGGAGCAGGGCAAGTAGCACAGGCTATAGTGAGCCCGTAGTGGACTTACCTGGCACAGGAGCGGTGCTGTGTGGTGTCAACGCACCTGTAGTGTGTTGTAAACCTTTTATAGCAGTACGGGTGAGGCCATTGTCACCTAGGGGTTGGTATACGGATTCACATCTATCGTATAGGGGAAGGAGGGAAGAAGAGCGATTATGTACATCTATAACAGAAGAAAGACACAATACCACATTAAAATGTATTATGCAGAAAGCTGGCTTATTTGTTTACTAGTTGAATTAAGAAAACGTTTGCCTATAATTTTAAGCCCATTCTTTCAAGAGATATTAGATAATGTAAAATAAAAATAAAAATTGTCATGCTCTTTATTGATCTTAAATTATGTTATTAAATAGCTTCTTATTTTTCTCCTTTCAAAACTTTCTACAAATTTTGTTGTTTTACGCCAAGCACTTTCTAATTTGGGAAAATCCTTTCTCAAGTTCGGTGGCCAAACCTGTATGTAATGTCCCAGTAAATGACGTACTAAGGAAGTGCACAGAGTAAGAATGACCCCACGACTCAGATTGGAAACAACTCCCAGTGAAGCCTATTATCCTACTGGCGTTCTCTACAGCCTTAATACACTGCCTACTAGGCTTCAGATCCAGACTGGAAAGAACTCCCAGTGAAGCCTATTATCCTACTGGCGTTCTCTACAGCCGTAATACACTGCGTACTAGGCTTCAGATCCAGACTGGAAAGAACTCCCAGTGAAGTCTATTATCCTACTGGCGTTCTCTACAGCCTTGATACACTGCGTACTAGGCTTCAGATCCAGACTGGAAAGAACTCCCAGTGAAGCCTGTTATCCTACTGGCGTTCTCTACAGCCTTGATACACTGCGTACTAGGCTTCAGATCCAGACTGGAAAGAACTCCCAGTGAAGCCTATTATCCTACTGGCGTTCTCTACAGCCTTGATACACTGCATACTAGGCTTCAGATCCAGACTGGAAAGAACTCCCAGTGAAGTCTATTATCCTACTGGCGTTCTCTACAGCCGTAATACACTGCCTACTAGGCTTCAGACCATTAGCCGCTCTCACTCCACTTGCTACTTCACTTACTCTCATTAAGTGTGTTGTTCGTCCAGTTGCCTTTTGAAATTTTATTTAGTTTGTATTATTTTACATTTTTAATCGTTAAAATTAATTTGCCATTTGTTAAGATCAATTTACTAAAGTGATGAAGTTGACTTGTAATCTGTCGTTCTATTGTTGTTGTAACTTGGCTTCTTAGTCTAGTTTCATCGACAAATTTATATATTATACGGCATGTCTATCAACAAACTGGTCCAAAGACTGTTATTTGTATTATAATTTATATTTAAGTAATGATTTAACTTGAGTAACATTAACAAATTAGACCTAAGTTTACAACAATATTTAACTCATAGGAATTAAATATATTCAGTTATTTCAATCACTGGGGATGAATTTCCGAATTTCTTAAAAACAATTAAATTTATTTTTTAAAGTCCTAAAGGAGCAATCATTCCCCCCCCCCCCGATTGATTGATTGATGAAGATTAAGCCACCCAAAAGGTGGCACGGGCATGATTAGCCCGTAAGTGGTGGCCCTTTTGAGCAATTACCAGTATCAATAGATGATACTGGAGATCTGTGGAGGTGCGACTGCACCCTGCGTGACGGGAGATGTCTCCCGTGTGAATATCAACCAAGGAATACACTTCCGCGCGCCACGGGATACATGGCGAGGAACAGAACTGTGAACAGCACTTATTATGGTACCAAGACAAAGAAGGAGCGAGGGAGAGAGACATCACACGGGAAGGAAAGAGCAGCATGGAGAGGTCAAAAGATTGCAGTCCGCCTTATCAAACCGCCACCGAAGGGAAGAGAGAGAAGGTGGAAGGAAAAGAGGGAAACGAGGATGATAAAAATGGTCACTGTTATGGTGGTCTTTGGGGACTTTACGCCATATCGCAATAAATGGAAAAGGAGCAGTACGAATGATCTGTGTAGGAAAGAGTATGAGTGTTGGAGTTGACAAGTGTCATCTCGCCGGATTTGTTCTTGGCCAAGATTACAAAACGGTCTCTGCTAAGGAGACACGCCCCAGAGGGCGCGTCGATAGTTTAAATCACCCAGAAGAAGCACAGGCTCCGACAATGAATATAAAAGATGTTTAAGATTGGGAATATATCAAAAGACGTACAGAGAGAGAAATGGAACAGATGGTATACCATTTATTCACAAAGAGTCAAGTGGGAGTGGAATGAATGTTTGTCTGAAAAATAAGAGGAACAAAAGGAACACTTAATTCCACAGTAAAATTAAGTTTGTCAGAAAACAGACAGCTGGAAAACAGAAAAATGAATAACGGTGGAATTGGTGAGGACGAGCGCCAAGCACTGGCTTCTGGAGACAAACACAAAGTAGTTAAAACTATTTAGTAGTCAGTCAAAGTAGTTCAAAAGTTGTAGTTCATCAACATTGGCATAAAACCTCTGACGTTCAAATGAAGAATATACACTGAGAAGAACGCAATGACAATAAAACCAAGAAAAATAATGAAACAAGGCACAGAAAGGGATACAGGACCAGGTTTACATTTCTGACTGAAAGACTGGTATGGTGGTGTCGAACTACTGTGAGACAGCTGCTACTGTCTCAGGCGGCGAGGGAGAATGAGAGTGGGTGACACAAGCATGTTTAGGTGGAGAGTGGATACTCCCCAGGACTGGCATATGTCGGAAAGAGTCAAAAGACAGAGCAGACGACCGAGGAGAACAAATGTCACAGCCCCGCGCCAGGTAAGGCCACTACGAGCTCACCATAGCCCGTCCTACTTTACAAATTTTATTCCGAGTAGCTGAATCTAAAACAACAACAACAGACTGAGGAAGAAGACAGGACCGAGAGTTGGAGGGTCCCACAGTGGATAAAGACGAACGAAGAAGCTATGCGAAAACACTGGGCAGACGAAGACTGCGAAGGCGGGAAGTCGGTGGAAGAGAACGCCAGCTGGTGACATCAGAGGGACACCCACGGTGTCAGGGCAGTCAGGTAATCAGACCAGGTGTACAGTGCTTGTGCTGGGTGGCATGTTTTATTCAAAGTATAACCAGGCTGCACACCTGTATTATTCCCAGAGAGGAGGGTCTGATTAGTTTGGTACATGACTGTGCAGCCAGGTATGTATTGACTGTTGAGGAGTACCTAGAGTTGCTCCGACCCCAATACTCCGATTCGGTTCCTGAGCTTCAATCTTTTACGACCTTCCTCGTGTCAAAAGGATCAGACTGGCCCCCACCTAGAGTGTTACTCCGCTCCGGAGCATCCTTTCCTTATTAAAGGGTGTTCGTGGTTCAGTAGGTAGAGCTGCTGGCTACTCTTTATCTGGTCGGGGGTTTAACGCTCTGATTGTCCAATTGAATGAAACGTTATTATTCAATAACGTAATAGCTAACGGTGGTTAGCTATTTATATAATTTCTCTTTTTAAAAATAGCTTTTCTTGAACATGTTGGCTTTTAATACGTAGTCGACTTCGACCTTTTCATAGAGAATGACGATACCTTCAAATACAATGACGTCCTTTTTCAAATGCATATCGCCCTTTTTTTAATACAATAACGCCCTCTTCTTATACAGAGACGCGGAAACAAATGTATCGTTTGGTAAACAAAGGTGATTATGTTGGAGTGCGCAACAGACATGCGCAATGCCTGGACGGTGCTCAATAAGCAAAGGGAACACCTGGGATAAAGCAGTGTACGTTGCGTGTGTTGATGGTAAGGACGCACTCAGACAGCCCCGCTCCTGTGCTAGGTAAGTTACGGGCTCACCATAGCCTGTGCTACTTGCCCCGCTCCTGTGCTAGGTAAGTTACGAGCTCACCATAGCCGGTGCTACTTGCCCCACTCTGCTTGGTAAGTTACGGGCTCACCATAGCCCGTGCTACTTGGAACTTGTTCCGAGTAGCTGAATCTATAGCAACAACAGCACACACAGCGTGTGCCAGTTGCTACAATTGCAATTCTCAAAGCTCCTTTGCCTCAAACCCAGACAGCCAGGGTTCCATGCACCTTAGCGTATCCAATACTTTAACTGCTAGACCACACTGACTGTTCAAAAGGATTGGAAGTCGTTAAACCTGATCAGTCAGTGTGGTCTAACGGTAAAAGTACTGAATAAACTAAGGTGCATGGAGCCCTGGCTGTCTGGGTTCGAATTCTTCCCAGACCACACAAGCACTTCGCTTGTGCACCACCACAGGAGGCAGGAGAGGGAAGCAGCAACCACCTCCACGTGCCCGGGGCCGGCGCACCACCCGCCAAACACACCGAAACTGCGACGTTGGTACAACGTTCGAACAAGTTTTAACACCTAACCAGTTATAACAACCAATATAGCAAGTTGTAACAACGTTCTAATACGTCATAAATACGTTAAGCCAAGATGTAACAACTTTATTACAAGTTGTAACAAGCGGAAAATAGAGACAGTTACGGTTTGTGTTTCCAGGGAAGAGCCCCACCACTGTCCAGGAATCATTGACTGACGGGACTTCACTGAAGTTACCCTCAGTCCCAGCGAGACGTGCATGTTTGTGCATGTTTTGATGGCAGTTAGTACTTGCCTCATCACATCGTGTATCAATGAAAAGGGAAAATCAGTTGCTGATATGAGTCTTGACATGTCACGTGTGATATTTATCGTTCTCTTGGGTCTGAAATACATATATAATTAGTTTTAAGTTTCCTGTAATTTCACGTTATGGCATTGACTGTCAACTTAATCTAATTCATCTTTTTTTTTTAATTTAATTTTTAGATATGTGTATCCTCTTTAATAAATCCCTTTCTCCCATCGACCTGTAAATGAGTCACAATAACCTGGCTGAAGATATGATGCCCAAACCAAACACTAGAAAGTGAAGGGACGACGACGTTTCGGTCCGCCCTGGACCATTATGAAGTCGATTGTGATCGACTTGAACATTGTCCAGAACGGACCGAAACATCGTCTTCTTCTCATCTTCTAGTGTTTGGTTTGGTCATCTCATCGAGCTGCTTCTTGTCTATGTGTTTCTTGCAATGTCATATATATTTTACTTGTAAAATTTACTGTCTTTTTAAGTCGTCGTTCCTTGCACGGGGGTTTTAAGCACATGACATAAACTTGTTCACCAGGTGACGGCGAGCCAGGATGGCGACGGCGAGGCTGGAGGTGTGGCGGGCGGCGAGGCTGGGGGTGTGGCGGGCGGCGAGGCTGATGCTGGTGCTGCTCTTCATGGTCCTCAGCCCATACCTGCTGCCTCGAGTACTCTTCTACACACAACCCCCGAAACCACAATTTGCATCATTATCACCTTCATCACTAAGCCCATCACCACCACTAACATTACCATCATCATCACTAACATCACTTCGACCACAAACATCGTCATCAAACTCATCATCACCGTCGCCACACAAGACCACGAGACACCACCCAGCCTATGACAGACTCTGCTACAAGTACCACACAAACCTTCATGCTGAGAACATATGCTGCAGAACAGCCAACTTCAGTGGTTCTGTCAGCATGATCCACCAGTGTATTACCAAGGCCAACGCCCACCCGCTGAAGGTCCTCAGGTGGGTGTCAAAGGCGATGTGTGCTCACTCAGTCAAAGTACACAGTCAAAGTACTCAGTCAACCTCATCCTTGGCTGACACAATATCAAGTCTTCATTCACCTCAGAGCCTTATAATACATATCAACACCAATCCATAAAACTCAGAATATCACTATAAGACTCAGCACATGAGTGCTGAGGCTATATATCAAATATATATATATATATTTATATATATGATATATATAAATATGATATATTTATATATATCAAATATATATAAATACACTTCAGCACATATAAACATCCATTCAGCTCAACATATCATCAACTGTTCATACTTTTTTTCATATTTGCTGTTGCTAGTGAGTCAAGGCATTCGTTCAAATGCAACATTGTGCCATATAAGAGTGTTAATCGAAGTACATGTACTCTAATCACCAGATACTGCCAGACACTATTTGAAGTGAAAATAACAACACGTAAAATAACCTTCCTACTCTTTCTTATGATTCATAAATTCTTAAACGAGCTCCTGCATATCAAAGAAGCTTCTTACATTATTTTATTTCCAGAGGAAATACCACTAGCACTGGAGGTGTTGAAGTTGCTGGATATTATGCTGCTGAAGGTAGTGATAATACTACTGTAGGTGGTGGTAACATTACTGAAGGTGGTGGTAATATTATTGAAGGTGGTGGTAACGCTACTGAGAGTGGTGGCAGAGGGCCTGCCAGGAGCGAGCACTGGGCTGTGTTTGGCGACTCTCACATGCGCTACCTTCTGGCCTCTCTCCTCACACGCTTCAGAAGCCCCACCCTCCAGTACCGATTTGAAGAAAAGGCGAGTAATATTCATCAGAGGTTTAGCTACTGCCATGAGGTCAGTTGTATTATTAGATGTGGTGGGAGGGGAAAAGAAGAGGAGTGGAATAGGGGGTGGAGGGAGAGACAGACTATCCCGGGCACCGCCCGGTACCCCTACTAGTATGCACATATGAGAGAATATTTATTTGTTTATTTGTTTGTCTCTAAGTTTTGAGGCCAAATGCTTGGTGCAAGCCTCACTCAACTTTGCAGGGTGGGTCTGGTGTACAGGGCCTATACATATTCCTTTATCATCCTAAACACATTGTGTCACACACTAATGATTCCTCTATACCCACAGGACAAGTGGCTTAGTGCAGCTGTTCTAGAGGCAGAACTTCATAAGAAAATAAGAACAAAGGTAACTGCAGAAGGCCACCCCCAGGAAGAAGCACTTCCTGGGGGTGGAGGCCTGGTCGAGGACCGGGCCGCGGGGACACTATGCCCCGAAATCCTCTCAAGATAACCCTGGCAAACACTTCATCCTGCCCTGGGGATTTGTTTGGTTTTAGTTTTACTATTTGTTTAATTACATCCTTCCTGGGAACTGCTAAACTAGTCAACCTGTCCTCGTCCCCACCCACATAGACTTGTTCTGATGAAGGCACATTGTTAAGTTCCTCTTTAGTAAATACAGATATAAAATATTTATTAAAAATGCTACTTATCTCCTAGTCATTATCCGTTATTTGACCTGTCTCAGTTTTTAATGGACATATCCTTTCCCTAGTCTTTGTTCGATATAACTGAAAAAAAACCTTTAGGATTTGTCTTCGCTTGCCCTGCTATGCGAACTTCATAGTTTCTTTTTGCTTTCCTTATTTCTTTTTTAACATTTCTAACTAGTTGAACGTATTCCTGTTCTAAAAAAAAAAAAATCCCCATTCTAAATCCTTTTGTACCACGCTCTCTCTTTTACCTATGAGGTTCTTCAAATCCTTTGTTATCCACTTTGGGTCATTAGTATTCGATCTATTCAATTTGTATGGTATACTACGTTCCTGTGCTTTGCTTAGAATATTTTTAAATAAGTTATATTTTGAATCTACATCGAAATCCCCTTTTACGTCACCTATCGCTGGGTTCATGTCCCGCTCCATGACCGCCACCCCCCCCTCCAAGCCCAAAACTTTCCAATCTATTTGACCCCAAAAAAATTCTTAGGCTATTAAAATTAGCTTTTCGAAAATCTGGCACTTTAACAGAATTTTCTCCTACAAATCTATTCCATTCTATGTTAAATCCGATTTCTTTGTGATCACTGTTCCCTAGCTCACCCCCTATTTCGATGTCATTAATTTGTGTTTCCCTGTTAGTTAAGACTAAATCTAAAATATTATTTTCCCGCGTTAAATAAAATTTGTCATACTCCCAAACTCTGGCAGAATATTGAAGTACGTGACCTGGGAATTAACTTCCACCTAACCTACTACTGGGATCCATTTCTGAAAATCCTGCCGGAGAAACTGACGGAGTGGGAACAGCAACCTCACCGCTCTCCTACACTCGTCATATTAGGTCAGCAGACGTTAGCTTTCCTAACGTTTATTTTTACATTATTATTTAATGTTGTATTTACAAATTTATTTAAATGTTCAATATAAACTAAGTACTTTTACCAATTTTGATGAGGTGATGATTGAGCAGACGTTATCACAACAAACAATTAGATTACAGTGTAAGACAGGTGAGGATTTTAGTGGTTGGGGCAGAGGTGAGGGAAGGGAGGTAATGGGGAGGGGGTTTAGGAGAGGGAGGGGAGGTGTAGGGGAGTAGTGAGGCAGTGAGAGTGGTGTGGGTGGGTCGGAGGAGACAGGCGTGGATATATGCAAGAGAGACAGACGCAAGGATTACTGGATCTAGTAGCCTGTTCTCTTGATGTGCCACAATGTACAAAATACAAAGTGCTAATTTAACCTGGAACGCATGAACCCCAGCAACCCACCTAACCTAACCTCTGATGCATACTGTAAACAATACATGGATATTAAGTTGACCAGACCACACACTAGAAGGTGAAGGGACGTCCCTTCACCTTCTAGTGTGTGGTCTGGTCAACTTACTTTAGCCACGTTATTGTGATTCATCGCCTGCACATAGATATTATGTTCCCCACGCTACTCTCTGCTCAATATACTATTCGCTAATATATCCCTATCTCACATACGGTATCTGTGCATGGGGTTCATCCACTGCAAATTACCTCAAGACAATCATCACCCAACAAACTCTGTCTTCAGACAACACAAAGTCCCCAAGCATGTTAATAAACATACATTCTTAGTTTCCTACTTTGTGCTTCAAATTGACACTGTATCTTGTCCATCCCACTCCCCCAATATTAGTACTTAAGACGTACATCTTCACCAGTGTAATCACCTGTCAGTTTATATTGTAGTTATATGTTGATTTCAAATTTTGCTACAATGTACCTATACGTGTTAGTGCTTTTGCAAAAAATGTAAAAATACGAATATTATGTAATCTCACAACCCCATTGTACCTTTTTGTAAATATATATGTAAACATGATGAATGAATATACTGCAAACAATACATGATGAATGCACGCACTGCATACAATACATAATGAATGCATTTATTTCATAGAATGCATGATGGATTTATCTTTTTTACACCATACATAGTGAATGATCGAGTTATTACAAGGAGGTTCCCTACAGCTGCGGCGCTGCACTGGATGCTGGAGACGCAAAGTGTGTACCAGACCTTTGGACCCGAGGCAGCCGTCACCTTGTACAGGATGCACATCAGAAGCTTTAAGGACCAGCTCACTCGCCTCGCAGCCAACACCACCATCGTCTTTAAGCTCCTCGACGACATAATGGTAATGAGTCATTGTATTTATTGTTGTTGCTCGTCTATTTACGATCATCCTAACAGCAAGGCTTGGTACTGGGGGCCACTCCTGCTCTGTTTAAATGACCTTTTAAACCCATGGCGACTCCATCTACTTGTTTATACATGTGCCCATCTGCACTCAAGAAGGGTGACTCTTTTGTGTAGGCTTGGAGTTGCTTTCTTAGTATGTTTTCTGGTATGTCGTGATCCGGCTTGAAATACCAGAAAACATACTAAGAAAGCTACTCCAAGCCTGCACTAAAGAGGCACCCTTCTTAAGTCCAGATGGGCACATGTATAAGCAAGTAGATGGGGTCACCATGGGTTCTCCGCTAGGTGTCCTGTTTGCGAACTTCTACATGGGTACCATAGAGTAGAGGGTCTCAGTTGACATGGACTTGAAACCCGCCATATACTGCAGGTATGTTGACGACAGTTTTATGCAGGTACCTGATGTCAGACATCTGCAGCAGCTGAAGGAGGCATTCGAGCAGAATTCTGTGTTAAGTTTCACTTACGAGATGGAGAATGATGGGAAGCTGCCCCTTTAGATGTAACAGTCACGGAAAGGAATGGAGGATTCCCCCACTGCAGTCTACACAATGGAAACAAACATAGGAATGTGCCTCAATGCCAATAGTGACAGCCCAGACAGGTACAAGAGGAGTGTTGTCAATGCTTACGTCGACCGGGCTCTCAGTCACAGCTCAGGATGGAAGCAAGTAAGTCGATGAAGAACTCTGTAGGGTAAGACAGGTCCTAGTCAACAATGGCTTCTCTAACGGTTATGTTGAAGACGTCATAAAAAGGAAGGTGAAACGCCATGCAACATCTGAAGAGTCAACTAACACAACACCTGTACCCCTATTAGACTGTTTTACAGGAACTTCCTTTCGACGGCTCATAAAATGGAGGAAAGTGTCCTGAAAGATATTAATAGGAACGTCATCCCTACAGACAAAAATCGGAAAATACAATTGACAATTTACTACAAAAACAAAAAACGGCCAACCTACTCATGAAAAACTCCCCAGACACCAAACAGAACGCCTTGAAGGAAACCAACGTCGTCTATGCCTTTGTATGCCCACTTGGGGACTGTAAGCCCCAATGAACTCAGTATATAGGCAAGACAACAACGTCTCTTTCCAGGCGATTAACAATGCAAAAACAACAGGGCTCCATCAAGGAACATATAATCTTTTCTCACAACCAGACCATGACCAGAGAAATCTTAACAAACAACACAGAAATCATCGATAGATTCAGTAATAGCAGGATACTCGACATCAGCGAGGCACTACACATCAAAAAGTCAACACCCGCAATCAATAGTCGATTAACGCATAACTATATTCTACCCACTTCAAGACCCTGAACCAACATAGGAGCTGCAAGAGAAAGTATGGGTCAATAGGCCTTCTGCAGTTACTTTCATTCTTATGCCTTTCATACCTAATTAATACCCACCTCACCCAAAACATTTGTGTCATATCACCTCACCCAAAACAAATACAAAGAATGATGTATGTTATGTGTGAACCAAGTCTTTGAAAATGTAAGAAGCCTTACGAAACGCTTTCAGGCGTCAGACCAAAAATAAAAATGTAAAAAATGAATTTTGGAGAGTTAATTTTTCAATTACCCTCGACAGTGAAGAAAAACGTAAAAAATATTGAGAAGATTCGTGTTAGAATGATTAATCTTACCCTTTCGGTCATATTCAACATTTGATAATTAGTAAAGTACCATGTAAATTGGCCCTCAATACACTATTTTATATAAATATATATATATATATACTAAAGTTTACTTTGTTCCTGCGCCAACGCCAAACAAACGTCGGGTAACCTTGTACACCACTAGATGGGGTATGCGGGTGTGCCTTAGGCTACCTTCCTCTTCTCTCTGACAATCTCCCCATTTTTCCCAGTCTCGCCTTCTCTTGCCCTATTCCACCCTCACCTCTCCTTAACCCTTTTCCTCTTCTCTGCACCTTTCTCACTCCCACTTTTTCTTTACTACGTCTCTCTTTCCCCTGGTAAATTTATTATTCATTCATCTATCTGTATTTCACCTTTCACAGCCGCGTCTGGAGATCTCCAACCCAAAATTAACTTCAACCCACCCATAATTAATTACTCAAAATAAATCAGTAAACTAGCCTAGTCTACGACTATACCTACAATTTCTAAATTTGAATTCAAAATAGCCTATGTAGTTTTCATGCATAATTTGCATACTTACCTCATTACACACAAGTAAATAACCTTTTATGTAATATGTTTTAAATGTTTCTAGCAGCCTAAGGATTAATTAAAATTGTGCTCATTTTAAACAAAAGTTTGTTACAAATCTGAGAATATTGCAACACATCTTTACAATTCATTGGGACACTCAGCAAAGCATTTGAAGCACAATTTATTTACCTTCAGGAAACCAGCATACCTTACTCAGAGAAAGCCATCAACACCCAGAGTAACTACCCGCTGTACAACAACGCGGCCATGGAGGCGCTGTCTGGGACGGGTGTAATTATCTGGGACAGCACTGTGCCACTCTCCCGGGCCTACAACGTCCGCTGTATGACACCACCCCTCCTGCACACTCCACCCTGGCACCACTGGAACTGCCTGGACAAGGCCCATGTAGGGTACATCCTCGTGGACCAGTATGCTGATATGATCATCAATGATTACTGTAACAAATTCCTAAATTTGGGCCCAGAATTTTGTGTCTAGCTTTTGTTCCCCCCTTCTGCTGTTACTTTATAGCATCAGATAGTATTAAAACGTCTTTTCACATATATTGTTTTTATTATTCAAGATTATTCTTTTTAGTTATGTAATAGAGTGTTTCTTTTACAAGGATGTAAAATATTAAAACAATCACTTAAGCTTAGATAATGAATTGTGTTCATATTTGTTCTTCACTTTGGGAAATGCTTTAACAATATTAGCAATTATAAACACTCCTTGGCCATTTTCTTGGAGTTAAGTGTGAAGTATCGCTTTTGATTAACATAAGTGGTTGCTGATAACCCCCAGAATGGTAATTGGAAAAAAAGAGAAAGAAAAAGAAAAGGATTTGAGACCCATACATTTCTTTCAGTGCTTCTCGAGTGGGAAGGGTGCACAAGGGTAAGGGTGGGGGGGGGGGGGGGGCACAGAGTCGGCTTAATAAAGATAGGTAACGGTATAAATAGGTAGAGATAGAAAGGGGGGGAGACACAGTCAGACCCGGGTAACGCTGGATACCCCTACCCCTCACTAGTATACTATAAGAGAGATTGTCTGTCTTCCTTCTCAAACCGACTGAATCCTATGCCTTTACTGATGGCTCTGTGCTGTTAGGCACTGGTCGAACAGGTTGTGCATGTGCAGTGTATAAAGGGAATGAAATGATCATGTCTACTACACAGAGACTGAACAAATGGGCAAGCACGACACAGACTGAGCTATTGGTTATTTATTTAGCCACTGAGTACCTTAAGCGCAACGGTGGTGGAGTGATATTCTGTGACTCTAAAAGTGCTCTGCAGTCCTTAAATAACTCATCACAATGTATGTCTGAAGTAGCTTGTAATATTAAATGTAATGTAATTTTTGCCAAAGATAATATCTATTGTTTAAAACTTGTGTGGATCCCATCCCATGTTGGAGTTGGAAAACATGGCTTTGTAGATCGATTGGCCAATGAGGCTTGCAGGAAAGAAAACATTGATTATGACTTTGTACTATCTAATGCAATTATTAGAAACATACAAATTAAAGAAATTAATTCAGATTTAGAAGAACTAAGAAATGCCCAGAGACCTAAAAGCTGCAGTATTAAAAGCTATGACAAGTTCTGTAATAATAGGTATTTGTATGGTCAGCACAGTAAATGGACCAGGCAATGTGATGAGGTCATTGCGCGAATTCGCCTTGGCTATAGACATCTGGCAGGTTAGTAAGGCTGAGCCACTACCAGAATACTCAGATTGTAAACTCTGTGATAAACCTTTAATGCATTCACTAGAACACTATATTGTTGAATGCGAAACCGTAAAAGTCTTTAGACCTCCTGGCCTATTGTACCACCAACTGTGTAACTATTTCATTGACTCAGGTGTTCTGGACGACATCCTAACAATTTATCCAAAATTTGCTTGTCCATTTTAAAGAATGAAGAACAATTTTATTTATATTACTTCTAAGCTGCATCACTTATAAACCCATCCCTGCCCTTGTGTGGCAGTGCACAATAGAAAGTTATTTTCACATATTCATACATTAAAACATTGATTGTAATCATGATATATATGTACTTCCGCCTACAGTTTAGACCTATTGTCTTGTGTATGACCCTCTGTCCTGCGTGACAGTGAATACCAGCATTATCCTCACTTTAATAAGAATTAATTGAAATCCTCAGATTAGGCAAAATTGTAATTAATTTTGTCAATAAAGATGCTAATAATAATAATAATGTCCAGAGTTGGAAGCCTGGCGCTTGGAACAAGCCTCACCTAAATTCACTGGAAGAATGTAGTAGAGGATAATGTATTACTTACCTCTTGCTTAGAAGGTAGTCTCTTCTCCATTATCCACTTTTGTTATACCAATGCTCCTGTTTGATCTTATTGCGAAGCTGGAATGGTGATGTGTATTTTGTAGCCTATTTCTTGCAATAAACTTTTAGCATGTATGAGAGCATTAATAGTTCGGGTTTAAGACTGGATAGATTTATCATTTATGTTGTTAAGTGGAAAAAATCTTATCTCAGTGAAAGTGGTTAATTTGCTGAAACGATTCTTATCTCCACATTTTTCGTTTGATAGTTTGTAAATTTCAATATATAATATTCCGTTGAATTCCAGTCACAATATTTACAAAATGCTTTATTCTGATCTGTTACTTTTAACGATCCACTCACAAAATCGTTCATCAAGTAATACTTTGTTAAGACACTTTGTGTTAATACTTGACTTATGCTATTTTATTCTTCAGTAATGTCGCCACCGACCCTCCCGAATCGCTGTCACTAGCACAGCTTAGGCCTTGTTTCCGAGTCATTATAATGGGATTTAAAATATCGCACAACCACCACCTTTCACCAATGTCCGCTAGTGACTGGTCACAGCCGAGGGGCGAGGCTGCCCTCACTAGTGGCGACATTAACGCGGCACAACACCTCACCTCAAGTTCTCTTGTCAACAACTGGGGACTCCACTAGTCAGGGTTGCCAGGTCTAAATTGCTGAAAGTAGCGAGCTGACGGTCTAAAAGTAGCGAATTTGTAATTAGAGTAGCCCAATTTTTTTTAAGTGAATGATATGGGTTTCAAAGTAATATATTTTGATATATAGAGTACACTACACGATGTTAATTATTTTATTAATATTATTTCTGCACATACACATTATATTTATATATATATATATATATATATATATATATATATATATATATATATATATATATATATATATATATATATATATATATATATATATATATATATATATATATATATATATATATATATATATATATATATATATATATATATATATATATATATATATATATATATATATATATTGATTTTTTGCCGCCAGAGGTGGATAGTTCATTAAGCATCCCCTATTCAACCAGTGAGTAATAACTATCTACGGGCTCACCATAGTCCGTGCTACGTGGAACTTTTTGTTCCAGGTAGCGAATCTTTAACAACAACAACCAGTGAGTGGTGGTTTACTGTGCACCCCGAACCCCGACCAGTTGTGTAAGCGGACCCCGACCAGTTGTGTAAGCGGACCCCGACCAGTTGTGTAAGCGGACCCCGACCAGTTGTGTAAGCGGACCCCGACCAGTTGTGTAAGCGGACCCCGACCAGTTGTGTAAGCGGACCCCGACCAGTTGTGTAAGCGGACCCCGACCAGTTGTACCCCGACCAGTTGTGTAACTGCAAGCCTAGCATGAACGAACCGACAATAAACATACTTGAACTTGAAATGGACTTTAAATGTTTTTTCGGCAGCTTTATTTCCTTAGTTTCCGAGCTGTTTTCTTTACCGTGTATGTTGTAATAAACTATTCCTATATTTACAGTTGTTTCTCCCTGTGAAGATTATTAAACAATGGTGATTATAAGGGCGCGGAAGTTCAGCCTGGCCAGGGCCGCCAGCAGCCCTTGGGCCCGCCCCGGCAGCACCCAGTCTTTAATTTGGCACCTTTGTGGGACCTTGGTATAAGCCTAACATGTATATATATACTGGCTGCCTGTCCCCCTACACAATGATTTATTATTACCTATTATTTTATCATTTAATTTAAATATTAAATAGAATAATTTATTTAATTATTATAGTAAGTACTTAATAATTTAATAGTAAGTAGTAAGTACATAAAAATAATTAAAAAGTACAGTTTAGTCATAGGAGATTCCTAGATTGGAATTCACTACCAAATTTCGATATATCCAAGTATTTTTAGTGTGAAATGCTGTTATTATATGCATAAATTGTTGTTTTAATAATATTATGCTTAACCACTTGGGCTGGACGGTAGAGCGACGGTCTCGTTTCCTACAGGTCCGCGTTCAATCCTCGACCGCCCAAGAGGTTGGGCAAAATTCCTTTCCCCCGTTCCATCCCAAATCCGTATCCTGATCCCTTCCGAGTGCTATATAGTCGTAATGGCTTGGCGCTTTCACTTGATAGTTCCCTCACCCCCCTTAATAATATTACGAGAGCAGTATTTACGGGCTATTCATGCCCGTGCCACCTCTTGGGTGGCTTAATCTTCATCAATCGAGAGCAGTACGTCCTAACCAGACATTATATGATGATATCCTGAACAGTTGATAAATAAAAGTAATTGCGGAACTCCAGTTATCTAATACTTATCATAAATGGTATAAAACCTTATCATAAGCCAAGGGATTTGTAGATCAGTGTTTAAAGGGAATTCGGAAGTAATAATAACACAGCTGATGCCATCTGTTGGCAGAAGAGAACACTATCAACTGGCTGGTCAACAGTGGCCATAAGATACAGCTTACGCCATCTGTTGACATCAAATTACACTTATAACAAATTACCCCACAAAATACAACTAACGCCATCTAGTTTTTTTTCCAACGCACTATAAATAGCCAAACAGCAACCCATAAGGCGGGTTGTTGTGCTCGGGTAGGAGGTTCCAAGCTCCGCCCACAGATGGTATGGGGTGCATAATAAATGGCATATCATTGGTAGAAATTCTTTGTTGACATTCACACAACAGCCAATCACAGGAAGGGATCAGCTAAAGGCTCCATCCACTTAATAAATCATCTTTATTCAGCACACCATCCTTGCTTATGACATTCTGCTTCAACTTTAATCTACCTAAAAAGTGAAATGTTAAGTATTTAAAAGTATTAATATAGTGATAATTAAATACTGCAGGATGTAACGAGTGTTACAGAAACATGGGCTGGCTACCTAACTTGTGACGTCATCAGTGGGTGTTGCCTCACACAAATAATATCGGCGATACAATGCCTCCGCCCTCTTATTGGTCTACATTATTCAGTTAGATGGAAATTTCTGTCTTGTATAAAACAGAAATTGTTGTTCTTTTGTACAACAACAAGGTTATTGAGCAAAAGGACGTATTTCTTATTTTGCATTTTATTCATATAAGCGTTGGCATTCCCCGCAACAGCCAATCACAGGAAGGTATTTGTTGGAAACTCTGCCGTCAACAAGTTGATTCCTAATGAACTCTCAATAAATTCGTTTAATAAACGAGTATTTAGGGTCAAGCTACAGATGAACATTATAGGATAACGGTGTTTTAGCTTGCAGGTTCGTTAGACAGAATCCCTGGTCTTAATTTTAAAAATAAAGAACTAGAAAGCGTATTTTATTGCTAACTTTTCGAGAAATAAATCCCAGTCTCATATTTGCGAACATTTATGCATTAATTTTTTTGGCTTAAGTTCTTATCATAATCCCTTTTGCAATCTCAACACCATCTGGGTGGTATCTTGTAACTATCTTCGTTACTTGGCCTCAAAACCTTACATTTGTCCTACATATCCTCAACAGTAGATAAAAAAAAGTAATTTCAGAATTCTAGTTACCTAATACATGGTTTCATTGTATAAAACCTTATTATAAGCTACCAGACGTATAGATCAGTGTTTAAAGTAATAATAATACATTATAATTAATGTAATAATATTATTAAAATAATAATAATACAGCTGATGCCATCTGTCGGCAGATAAGAACAGTATCAACTGGTTGGTCAACAGTGGCCATAAGATACAGCTTTCGCCATCTGTTGACATCAAATTACACTTATAACAAATTACCCCACAAAATACAACTAACGCCATCTGTTTTTTTCCAACGCACTATAAATAGCCAAACAGCAACCCATAAGGCGGGTTGTTGTGCTCGGGTAGGAGGTTCCAAGCTCCGCCCACAAGATGGTATGGGGTGCATAATAAAAAATGGCATATCATTGGTAGAAACTCTTTGTTGACATTCACACAACAGCCAATCACAGGAAGGGATCAGCTATAGGTGCCATCCACTTAGTAAATCATCTTAGTTCAGCCCACCAGTCCTGCTTATGTAATTCTGCTTTAACTTTAATTTACCCAAAAAAGTGAAGTGTTAATTATTTAAAGTGTTAATAAAGTGATAATTAAATATTGCAGGATATAACAGATGTTATATAAAAATGGGCTGGCTACCTAACTTGTGACGTTATTATTGGGGGTTGCCTTGACACAAATAATGATACACTGCTCTGCCCTCTTATTCGAGTAAATTATTCAGTTAGATGGAGATTTCTGTCAGGTGCAAAACAGAAATTGTTGTTCTTTTTCACAACACCCTTGTTGTTGTGCACAAGGACCTATTTCTTAGTTTAAATTTTATTCATAAAAGAGTGTTGGTATTCCCCGCAACAGCCAATCACAGGAAGGTATTTCTGGAAGCTCGGCCTCCTTATGGACTCAGCACATCGCTCTAGCTCATGGCTCTCTGTTTCATCTCTTGTATATACAAACTATGACTTTTTTCGATTACTGTTATAATTAATAATATGAGATATAAAAGTTTTTACACAAAATGGCTAAATTCTGCCATTAAATGGACTTTGTCTGGTATACATACAAACATACACCAATTTATTACCATTCATCCATTATTAATTTCAAATGTAATGTATACTGTCTAGTTTTTATCCTCTCGCCATTACTTGGTGCAATATTTGAAAGTTGTCTATTTATTTATCGATCTATCTATTATCTTGTATTTATATTTACATGTTTCTGTGCTTGGAAGAAAACTCTGCATTGAATTGGGACTAATTTATTAAATAATATTATTTAGTATTAATTAATATTTACAATTATTATTAATTACAATTATTTATAGCTTAGTTACTTTCATGTAACTCGCAATCGTACATTCTTAACATTAATAGCCCAAATTAGCACATCTTGCTTTTAAATTAGCCCAAAAAGTAGCAAGTAGCGAAATTAAAAATTTGGGAGCGCGGGGCTCTCAAAAGTAGCCCAATTCGCTATTTATAGCCCAATCTGGCAACACTGCGACTAGCATTTACGCATATACTTCTGAACCAATATATCTTTTTTTCAATAATTGGCGGCATGGTTTACATTTATTTAACATTTTACAAACATCGAAACTTCCCAGTCAAATGTTGTTATTGTTATAAACAGCCTCTCAGTGCTTCCAAGCTCATGAACTGTTTAATTAATGTAAACAAAGCTGCCAAATATTGAGAAAAGATGTAGACCCTAGACCTTCTCAGTACCGGTACAGTCATAGAACAAATGTCTACAATGTGATTGGGACAATTAATTAAATCGTATATTTTGTTGAATTGTAATGTATTAATTTGATATCTTGATTTTCAATTAAACTAGGAAAATTATAAACAAGTTTCAAATTATCAACGCTTGATACCAAAAGTACCAAAATGTCGTACGAAAGTATCAAGTTTGGCAGTCCAGAAATAGGCCCATTAATGCAGCTTACCAATCTGCAGGAAGGCTCCGGGTCTGTGACCATTTCGGACCGTAGTGGTACTGTGACGTATGCCAGTGTTCATGGCGCCCCCATGGAGTTTCCTGAGACTCTTCTCCGGCGATTCTTCCAGAGGTACGGCTCCGTCATCAGTGTGCGGATAAACTCACTTTCGTCTGGCACGTATTCGGGTGTGAAGACCAACATTCGGACCCTCGGGATGCGAATGAGGTCGGACATTCCGTCCTCTGTCCGGCTGTTGGGATACTACGTGCGGGTGTTTTATGCCCGACAACCCCGTACTTGCTTCCGGTGTGGCTTGTTGGGGCATCAGGCTGCCGGGTGTACTGATGATCCGGTCGCTCCCGTGAACTTGTTCCGTGAAGAGGATTTCCCACCGCTCCCTCTGGAGGAGGACTCCGGGGGTGAGGAGGTGAGCGTCCCGTTCGCTGCTGAGGCTCCCCCAGCGTCACCCGCCGTTCCCCCGGTTGTCGCAGACCCTCCTCCGGGTGTTGCGGTGCCGTCGGATGTTCCTCCTGACCATGTCTCTGGCCCTGCCGATCCTGTGGATCTTCTTGGTAACCCCTGTGGAGCTTCGCGGTCTGCTTCCTCGTCTTCGGATGCGGATCCTGGCCCTGCGTCCACGCCTCGGGCCCCTGCTGTGCTGGGTGCTGGAGTGGCTGCGGAGCCTCCTGGTGTGTGTGGTCCGGTTCCTCCTGTGGTAGAGGCTGCTGCCATTCTGCGTCGGGCGTCGGTTCGTCCGGCTAGTGGTGCCCGTGCTTCTGGATCTGCTTCCGGCTCTGACGATATCCGGCCAGTGCCCAAACGTTCCAGGCGTTCGTCTACTGCCTGGGCTGATGTTGGGGAATTCAGTGACTGTGGGTCTTCAGGTGTTGACGGCGTGGCTCCGGATGAGTCGTTGTCTCCACGGTTGGTGGTGGCGGAGGTACATGTGCCTGCTGGGGCTGGTGACTGTGTCTCGGGTGTGCCTCCTGTTCCTTCCCCGCCCGGGGGCTCTCCGCAGTGGGGTGTGGTGGCTTCCGGTGCCAGGGGTGGTGAGGATGCTGGTGCTTGGCGTGGCCTGGTGGTGACTTTGAGAAAGGATGCGCGCCGCCTTGGTTCCCTGCAGTCGTCTGGTGGTGTGCCCGTGGCCGCTGGTGCCCCTGTGCTGGTGCCCTCTGTCCGGCCCCCTACTATGGTGGACCTGGAGGCCTGGGTTGCCGAGTTCCTGCTGTCTGAGAAGCCGGAGGACTTTTCTGATGAGCGGGTTCCAGGTGTATGGGATAGGGTGGCGGTTACTCGCGTCCGGAAGGACACCATATGGGTTCCCTGTCTGCGAGTGTTTGTTGCCCCGCTTCACATGGCGCCCCCGGTGGTGGGTAAAGCCTCGTGGGAGAGGTGGCTGATTTGGGAGGTGTTTCATGTGCGATATCCCCGATCCCGGGCAAATATGTAAGCTGATTTTACTTTGACATGTATGTTATCCTTCTGTATTGCTCGCATGTGTTTTTATTCTTAGCTTGTTGTGTGTTGTGTGATTTTTTGTTTTGTTTTATGATGTCCTTTATGTTGTATTTTGTTCTCGGTCCTTCAGGTCGATGCGTGTTTGTTGTTGTGTATGTACCTATGTTTATTTTCTGATTTGCACGGGTTGCTTGTTTATTATTGATTTGTTGCGGGGCGGTTGGTTTGTTGTGGGTATTTTTATTCATGTCTTGTTTCTGTGCTGTACGTTTACACTGGTGTTTTTATTATTACTTTACATGTTGTCCTTGTTTATTATTTTGTTTATTTTTTGTTGTGTATTGTGCTTGTCCTGTTCTGTCTTTTGTTATGCATCTTGATGTTTGTTTTGTTTATGATGTTTTGTTTTGTGATGTTAATGTGCTTGCTTGTTTGACAATTGTTATCTATTTTGTGTCTTGATGTCTGTGTTTTTTCACTGCATTTATCGTGTTTGTATTTTGTTGTACTGAGCTGTCGGCCCTTCTGGCCGGTGGTCTATTGTCTTGTTTTGTTATGTTTTCTGTGTTTTTTCTCGTTTTTATTGTATTTAAATTGCATGCTTTGCATGTAAAAATAAAAATAAAAAAAAAATTACACTCTGTCATTTCCGAGAATATGACGAAACATACAATATATTGCCCCAAACATCCTGTGAGAGGTAGTTTATTGTGTACCCCCATACCAATTATGTGAGCGATAATTATACTTATATACACAGACAGTATGCAGATGGATGCAGATCCATCTGCATACATATTAACGCCATATATAACGTGGCAGCTTAACACAGGTGTGGGACAACACCACAGGGCTCTCCTTGTCGTGTTGTTGCCAGTAATACCGAGACCAGCATTAACTAGGCACTCACTGCTCCACTATACCTTTGTGAAGGTGTGCTGCAGGTAGGTAATTATAACTGTTTTGGTCTAAGACTTAATTATTATTTATTGTTATTATTACTGCATATAATAATAATAATATCTTCCGTGAACTGTGACTATACCTATCAATTGCAAAATGCCACATCAAGGCTTGCAGTTCTAATATCATGTGTGTGTATGCTTAGGTTTCCCTAGTGAAAGATTGACGTGTTAGTCAGTACAGACGCCAAGATAACTAACCTTGCTCGAGTAATGTTTGATCAACGTGGCAGCAACAATATCAATGTTGCTTCAATGTTATATCAAAGTAGTTTGCACTGATTTGGTCAGGGAAGGAGGGTACTAGTGGGTGCAGGGAGAAGCTTAGTCGACAGTGTATCAATGGGACGAGTGTTGTCCGTGATTTGTTTGGGCTTTGTAGTGCCTAAAGTGTTGAGTTTTCTTATGACCATCAGAAGCAGTATTAAAATCATTAGGCTAATGTGAATTATAATACGAATCAACAGAGAATAAGTTAGATTCTCTCTATATATTTTTAATAGTGTATAGATGACCGATTTACATGTCCAATTACCAATTATCATCTTAAGTATATTCATTCTGTATGCGTAGCGTAGCCCCGATGGTTAAGTATGACTTAATGAGTTGTAACTATTGTAATTTGGTGTAGAAGCAATTGCTAGTATTTTAGATCAAGTTTAGGTAGACTCGTGAATGATTCAGTTATCAAGACAAAAAAAAATTACCAGTTACCAATGTGTTATCCAGTGGAGGGTATAAGCCATTATATTATTATATGTTAAGGGCGATACGCCACGCCCGACTTTTCTGTATACTGGTGAAGCCTATTAACTAAATGTTAATTAGGATGTCTTGGCGGGAATTCTCCGGTACAGTTAATTCAAATGTATTCATTTGGTATTTATATATCTCGTTTAATTGTCGTCTTTACCTTGCTTACATTTATCATTAAATTAGAGACTTTATACAGTATATATATTATAAACTAGGAAGCAGTGACAAGGCGAATCAACACGGAGGAGGTTTTGAGGGAGTATGGCAACAAGGAGGGAAATACGGACTGCTTCGATCTTCACTTACGTTCTTCGTTCCTTTTGCGGAGTTTTCAAGCATGCAAGACAAATTTTTGTAATGATGTAGATATGTTAAATACATTATTGCTGTTGTTCGCCAGGTGACGGAGATCCAGGATGGTGGCAGAGAGGCTGGAGGCGTGGTGGGTGGCGCCGCTGGTGGCGAAGCGGGTGACGCCGCTGGTGGTGGGGACGTTGCTACTCTCCTTGCTCCTCACCCCTTACCTGCTGCCTCGATTTCGCTTCCCACACCCACCATTGCCACCACACCTTGCATCACCATTACTAACCTCATCACCCCAACTTGCATCACCATTACTAACCTCATCACCCCAACTTGCATCACCATTACTAACCTCATTACCACCACAAATATCACTAACATCACTTCCACCACAAACATCGTCATCAAACTCATCATCACCGTCGCCACACAAGACCACGAGACACCACCCAGCCTATGACAGACGCTGCTACAAGTACCACACAAACCTTCATGCTGAGAACATATGCTGCAGAACAGCCAACTTCAGTGGTTCTATCAGCATGATCCACCAGTGTATTACCAAGGCCAATGCCCAGCTTCTGAAGGTCCACAGGTGGGTGTCAACATCAGTGGATGTTGGACGTTCTTAAGAGAGGTTTTATATATTATGTTCTTAAGCACTCCCTCCCAGGTATAGAACATAAATACAAAACAATGAGAGTAGGTTTTAAAGTAAATGATGTTTCATCTGTAAGGGCTTTATTAATTCTAAAATGCCCAGGACTGATGCTTATAGAAGGGTAAAGCGAGTATGAGGTGTGATAGGTGGGCTGAAGACAGCGAGGTGAAGATGAGATACGAGGGAATATGTATTACAATTTATATATAGCAATGTTGAGTTTTCCCTATTTATGTTGAACGGTGCTGAAGTGTTTGATGCCTGTAGATTCCTTACACTGTCTACTAGTGTTGCTTTATTTAATGATGAGTTTAGCATCCCTGAAGTTCATGAGGTATTGCTCCTCGTTCCTGTGTGAGGTACAAGTGTTGTTGATGATGCTGATGGTTCCTGTGTGTAACACAAGTGTTACTCCTCGTTTCTGTGTGAGACACAAGTGTTGTTGATGCTATAATGATAATAAATTTTCAACTAGGCTTTGAATTAGCCTTTTTCTGATTCTGTTTTGATAATTTTAGATTTTCATTATGTTCAATCTCTAGTAAGGGCATGGTTTGTTAGGTTATATAAGGTTCAGGAAGAAATCGTAGGTGTGTTGGCACTCTTTTTTTTCAAGGAACTGTTACAACATATCTTACAAGAACGGAAAACGTATCTGACAGTATCCCTGGCATCGTCCTTTTATCACGGCAGGAGTAAAAATAATGAAATATTTTTTGATTGCTCTCCTGTAACTGAAAAATTAAGTCTTCAAATATAATTTTACCATTTTAATAAGTCTGAACGTTTTCCCTAAGTTCAACTTAGCATCCTCAGAGGCAAAGGGAAATTTAATACAAAATACGAAAATAGAAATGTGTAGTTCATGTGGGCGTGATGAGAGGAGAGGAGTTACCGGCGTGATAGAACACGGTAATCTGGTCCTGCATTCTCATTGGTCGGTTGGGGTGGCAACTGGGTGTTAAGTGGCAGTTCTCTCTTGGTCTGGATGATGACAAGATGCACCTAGGTATGAGCTACCCGTAGATAATTAGTTGAGTGCTTGATGTGAAGAACTTCTGCTATGTCCAGTCTCCCATTGTCATTGTATCTGTCAATTATTTTGGTGTCACTGGTCAGGATCTGTCTGTTTATGGTCTGGTTGTGTATAGAAATGAAATAACATTTTGTCTTATGTTCCTCAAGTTTTATCGCTGTTCCTGCAGATCAATGACTTGTTGCATTCTTTTCAGAGGCTCTAGTACTGGCGGCAGCACCACTGAAGGTGGTAGTGGAGGACCAGCCGCCAGGAGCGAGCACTGGGTTGTGCTAGGAGACTCTCACATGCGTTACCTCCTGGCCGCCTTCCTCACGCGCTTCAGAAGCCCCACCCTCCAGTACCGACTACGAAGTACTGTGAGTAGTAATAATGAAGTGTTTTTGCTATTGTTATGTGGGTAGTTGCGTTGTCAGGTCGTGACAATCATGGTGTAGTGAGACTCGGGACGAACCGAAGCGAAAATGTCCAAAGAGCTGGCAAGCAGGGGATGGAAGAGGCACGGGAAGGACTTAGGAAATCATGAAGGAGGAGTAGGAGGTTGGAAGGAGAGTGGGGTGGACAGGGTAGTGGCCCAACCACTTTGGCTTTGAGAGTGATTATGGAGTGATATGAGTTGATATGTGAATTGATGGCGAGGCAAGACTGCATTCATAGATGATGGTGATGAAGATTTTTTTGTAATGATTGCTGGCTGTCAGTAGCAGCAAGCTGTAGCTGCCGCACAACAGGAGAGAAGTTGCCATGTGAGGACAAAGTTCTAGTCTTGGTGTCGTACCTGGAGAGCAGTGCTGTGGTGACTTGCAGATGTATGGTTGGTAGAGGAGCTTGTAGTTGATGTATACAATGATTTTGTCCTGGTTGGTAAAGGTATTAGTGTCAGATGTTGACTTGCTAGTTCATAGTTCGTGCATGTTAGGTGTATAATGGGTCAGGAGGTTCACATTCCTCATCCTCCTGACGTGGTAGGTTACTAAGTATCCTGGGTCGTGGGTAATTCCTGTTGTGGATATACCGCCTGACTTTTTGTTGAAGGGACATCCTCCTTGTTTTGTGAGGCTGGTCTTGTATCTCATAGTTAGTAGTGTTGTATACCGTAGAGGGATCGTCACGATTTGGTAAGTAGGTGCCAGTGAGAGATTTTCAACGGCCCGCGACCCAATCACTGGAACGCGTCATTATGGCCCACGACCCAATCACGCGTCATTACGGCCCACGACCCAATCACGCGTCATTACGTCATCAATATGCTTGCTGATCTTTTAGGCATGTGTTAAAGTGTACCATCCCCATGCTCACGCACCAGTTGTTCAATCAAGGAAGGAAAGATAATTCATATACTTAGAGTCTGTTTGGCTTTCCAAGCAACCACCACGACTTCTGCACTAACACTGGAGACAATTTTAGGTTATAATGAAACTAACTTTATCATAAACACAGGCATATCAAGCCCACTAGTATAGGTCAGTCATTTGCCATAATGTAACACGGGTTTGGGTCCCTCTCTCTTTTCTTCCTTCTACTCCCTCTACCCGTATTCTTACTTATTATTCTCTACCAAGGGACTCCAAAACTTTTACCAAAGCCAACTCCACGCCACGTGGTCCTAAGACGATTGACCGACTTAGGATTCTACACCCAGTATGACGTGACCTAAGCTCTGAACAAAACCCTAGAGTCACCTCTGCTGCCACCACCAGACCAGTAAAAGAAGAGCAATGATCGTGGTCTGGATCGATCACGCTAATTAATCAACCTAGGGGCTTGATCCCCAATATAAACGATGACCTTGAGTGTGGAATAAATTACACGGTAATGATAATTCCGATTCGATGTTAGAATCGGCGCCCAATGCAACTCTGCCTCGTGTGGACCACGTGACCAGGACAAGTATACACATAAAACACATGGAAACAATAAAATGCAAAAATATTAACAAATTTAATTTATTAAAAGAAAAACTAAAACAAAATCTAAAAATGTTCACTCCCTATCACTTTAACACTCCCTACTTGACCTGAGTGGCAAATGAGACTATTTCTATACTTAACAATAACAACTATACCTTAGGCGACCAGCTAGATGTCTTGGCTGGTCTTGGGGAGAGGTAAGATGTTTGACCTCTCCCAGCTGCTTCCGTGACCACACTGATTTCTTCCTTGTCTGGTCTCCCCCAGACAGAACATTGTATCCTTCCGCCTAGTCAAAGTTCTACCAAGTTACTAGCAAGGTTTAAGTTATAACAATTAACCTCTGTTGTACTTAATTAATCCAGACTGGTTGAATTATTTTACTGAATTAAATTACAAACATCTAACGGCAGAGCTGTTCCCGATCACAAAAATGGTTATTAAAACTTTGAGAAATATTAGACATGTCAACCCTGCTGACCTATGACCGCCGGTCACTCCGCTTTAGAAGTTAGATCTGATTCGTGACGTCACTGATGGTGACTTAAACTCAATAATTAGAATACTCTTGATATTGTATCCAGTACTATTATACAATACAATTTTAATGCAAAATGAATAAAGGCTAATTTTCTCTAAATTACTGAATACTATTGGATGATTCATTATACGCAGCTATGAACAAAGCGTCGGTTATTTCCACCGCGAATTCCCCTGGGGGTCAGGTCACCATGCGGCTCAGCTTCCCATTCTCTTTTGTCGATAAACCACTCTGGATAATTCTTACAACAGCCTAGTTTGTTACAATAACCTGAGTTGATATTATTTTCATCACAATATGTCTCAACAGTCATTTAATTCCTAACATGTTTGCTCTGATACAAACTAACAGCCCGTGACTAAAATGATAATAAATATTCTTGTAACAGTTCAGTTTGTTCCCCTGTTATGGAATGGGTGTTCTCAGCGTGTTTATTCTGCTACGAAAAGGAACTAGGTCAGTACTAAAGTAAACAGCGGTCGTCAGGGATGCTGTGAGTAAAAGCCAGACTCATTAAACTATCAGGGATTACGAGTTGATATTCGTCAGAGTAATAGCCTACAAGGGGGGAACAAATCCAATATGACCTTTATGACGTGAGAACGAAACAGGTTGAAGCGATTACCATCTGGGTAAACAGAAGGTTTCCCCTTAGCAAACAGCAAGTGACCTGTGGTGCTCTAGGAGCTGAGCTTTGGTGCACATCTCCTAAAGGCATCATCACTCGGTGATTGATTTGTAGTACTAGAGGCTCAGTGACAAGCTTACCATTGGTCGGTGGTGCAGGGAGCTTGGCTTGTCAGGCCCGTGGCAGGAATCCTGGCTCAAAGAGGGGAAGAAGAGGGAGTGTGACTTGTGGAACAAGAAAGTGTGAGAGAGGCACTGGTAGGAAAGGGGACCATGAAGTCCGTCTGTTATGTATGTAAAACCTTGCTTAAATACCATTAACATTTTGCATTTATTGCTTTGTTAAACGGGTCTGTCAGCACACATGATATCAGAAGTCCCAGAAGTAATCACATACATTACTTCTGAGATTGACTACAATCCACTCACATACATTGTTGTATGTGATTGGATTGTTGTAGCCAATCACATACATTGGCTACAACTTCACTTAAGTAACATACATATCATGAACAGCACCAGCCTGCCGTGTGGCGATCTCAGTGTATGTCTACACACAATTAGTGTGTAGACATACATTAAAATCACTAGTGTATGTGATCAATACACTACTCCAATTAATGTATGTCTACACACAACTCAGTCTAAGCCTACAAACAATGATGCCCTCCTTATACCGACAGGACAAGTGGTCGAGTGCAGATGTTCTAGAGCAAACGCTTCACCACCAAAAAATGTTGTATGATATTGAGGTCCGTGACCTGGGAGTCAACTTCCACATGACCTACATCCTGGACATTCACCTGACGGTGCTGCCCAAGAAGCTGACGGAGTGGCAGCAGCAGCCTCACCGCTCCCCAACACTCCTAGTCTTTGGTCAGCAGCCTATTTGACGCTATACCTTCTAACGAGTCAGAAGCCGTTTATGTACTCTCCCGAATATAAACAAATACAGGAGCCCATACCACTAGTTCAGGAACACCTCAGGGTAAACCGTCGTACTCACAATAGTGTACAGGAGATATACTTGGGGGAATCCTGGTTAGGGAAGGGGAAAACGCCAAGCCATTGCGACTATGGAAGCCCGATTAGATAATCCAACCTGGTGGCCTTCAGGAGAGAAATCATAGACCTTGGATCCACAATTAAGCACCTCCCACCTTCCTCGCCCACTTCGTACACATATAACTCACTGATACAGTACGTTAGGAACAGTCTATTAACACAGTTGACCCACAACAGCTGCTAGACTTTATGTGCATAGCTTGGATAAATTTACTAGCAGCTCATAACTAGAGCAATCATCAACGGGCGCCTTGGCGGGGTTAACCAGTGGACAGCCAACGCTCCTTACATTGACTATAAGCTTCGTTGAGAACCATTGTAACGTAGTTTTTCTTTCTTCAGCATTAAATATTAAATGATTTATTATAGATAATATCAACCAGCACAAACTCCAACAATATTTGCAGTTTGAATGTTATTTAATGCATGTAGATAACACATTACAGCGTAAGCGTACTGAGTGATAACATGGGAGGTCTCCTACAGCTTCGGCGTTGCACTGGATGTGGCACACACAAAACGTGTACCAGAGCCAGGGACCCGAGGCAGCCGTCGCCCTGTACAGGAAACACATCAGAAGCCTAAGACACCAGCTCACACGCTTCGCAGCCAACACCCCCGTCGCCTTTAAGCTTCTCGACGACCTATTGGTAATTTACGTTTCCTGTTTTTGCTGGATGACCTGAGGGAGAATGCGCCATTATATCTGCTGTTGCGTTTTAATTGAACTCTTCTGACATTTGAATTCTTTGTTAAGAATTCAAATGTGCATTGTTGTGCACATTGTGCATTGTTGTGCATATTGTGCACATTGGATGTGCATTGTTTTGCTTTGAAGTTGTAGATAGAGGTGGCTTCCACAATCTGTAGAGGATATAAGTATTTCCTGTGTTGAAGCTTTCTTCCATGTCCTCTCGTCCTGCATTCTCTCACTTTAAAGATTTTCTATAAGTACTCTCATTGTAGGAGGATGGGCTGTTTAAAAGTGGAACAGATTCTACAATGTTGAATTCTTCATCAATGGCTGTATTGCAGTTCGCCTTCCTTTTGGTTACCTTTTTCCAGGTTGAATTCCTCATCAACCTGCTTCAACTGGAACTGCGTGAAAGATCATGGTTCATTTAGGCACCAACAATACTTTGCTTGTAATGATAAAACTCGCCACTAGCATGAAAGCACATTTCTAAGTTCCCTTCTGGCGGCGGTGTCGCCTGTGATGGTGGAGGAGGAAGGGGGTTCATGTGCCTGCTGGTGCCGCCGGTGTCAATGTCTCTTCGTTAACCTCTGTTTCTTCTCCTGCAGGGGTTTCCCCCGCAGTGGGGGGTGGTCCCTCCTCCTGTGGTGGGTGGCGCTGATGATGATGTGGGCCGGGGCCTTGTGGTGGTCCTCAGGAAGGATGTCCATCGCGGGGATTCTGTGCCGGTTCCCAAGCCTGTGGCTGTTGTTTCTGGCCCCTGTGGTGTTGCCCCCTGACGTGCCTCCTCCTGTGGTGCAGCCCGCTGCGGACGTGTCTAGCGAGGTTGACCTGGATGACCGGCCTCTTAGTGTAGATGTTTTCGACGAAATACGTACTAGCGAGACGCCCTTACAGGGCGTCTCGCTAGTACGTATTATACGCTAGTCTCGCTAGTGGGAGCAGGTGTTGACGATCCCTCTGTGCCCGTCTATTATTGGGGTACCTTATGTACGTGTTTTTATGTCCAGGGTTCCAGAATTCACGGCGCGTCCTCGTGCGCCAGTCCATCCTGATACAGAGTGTCTTTGGGAAGTGTACTGTCTCCGGTTTCCGGCGGCGGACTTTGAGAAGTATGAGTAAGTGTGGCGTCGCTTACTCTCGTCTCCCGACTGTTTTGTCTGCTGTGGGTCCATCAGGCATATGGTTGAGTGCCTTGACTTTGTTTATGTTCCGTGTTTTGTACTTTCTATCCATTGGGTCCCAGTGCATTATGGTATACTCCATAATGATCTTGTAGATCAACTAGGGACGCCTTACACGTCACGCACCACCCTACAGTGCGGCAAGTCTCCCTCTAACTTACGTCTCTGTTCTCGTTGTCACTCCTCTATCTACAGCTCAACACAACAAGTACTTTTGAAACTCTTATTATTCTCAACATTGACGCGTCTCCCTACACCTGTACTGGTGCAGTACAGGTAGAACCCTTCATGCAAACTGCATCTACTATCAAGAAGAAGTAGTTTCATCTGGTCCTATACTCTTTACTTTCAGTTCGGCAGCGCACCTAACGCAACAGATGCTATGCACACCCGGAGTAACTACCCGCTGTACAACAAGGCGGCGCTGGAGGAGCTGTCAGGGACGGGTGTGATCATCTGGGACAGCACCCTGCCACTCTCCAGGGCCTACACCCTCCGCTGTGAGGCACAACCCCTGCACACTCCACCCTGGCACCACTGGAACTGCCTGGACAGGGGCCATGTAGGGTACATCCTCGTGGACCAGTATGCTGATATGATCATCAATGATTACTGTA